ACGTAGTAGTGTGTGTGTGTGTGTGTGTGTGTGTGTGTGTGTGTAATAATAAAATATGTATGATTTTACGTAACGCATTAAAATTATATGACCTAGATATTATGCATATATATATAACTTGACATACTTAAATACAGAGCAGATAAATTAGCCATAACAATTAAGCATAATGTATCGAGAAATCTTTCTTGTGAAAATATGATTTATCGTCCGTAGATTGATTATTAACATGATATTAAAAGTAATCGTGTTACTTAACATTAACAGCTCCTGCCATAAAGCTTAGCACTGACCGATTTCTCGTGTACCACTTAGAAGCATCGCGGAAACGAGTCCTTGGAGAATAGAAACTTCGTCAACAGTTTTCACATTATTAGAATCAATGTTCAATATATATCGAGACACACTACATCATTTACATAGAAGAAGATGAAACTTTTAGAAATTGTCCGATTTTAAAAACACATGATCTCTTGAGACATGCAGAATTGATTTTTTTAAGAATTTAACGGGTGAGTTTTATAGATATAATTTATAAATTTGCAAATTAATCTTTGTAGTGTATTGTGTAAAAATTTAGAAATCAAGTAATATTGGGATATTTTTTGCAATAATCAATTTTTGTATATATTTCTTTTAATATATTTCTTTTAATTCTTGTATATATATGTATATATATATATATTTCTTTTCTTATGGAATTTGACAAAGTGTGCATCTGAATCATCAATTGTGCATATATACTAATGTAGATAATTAATACATTTACTAATTAATGTTTGTCGTACAATAACTTTTTTTATTTATATATTATTCATGCAAGATTTTGTTAAGCTATGTTTCCAATAATTTTTGTTTCTTGTCATATTATAATATGTTAGAAATACTCTTGTCATATCTCTGTTTTTCGCTTTGTCAGAACGTTCTTTTACTTGCAGTTTAGAGACTGTCGAAAACACTTAATTATCAGGGAGATATTGTTAAAATTATGAATGTAGATAAAATGTTTATCTCATCTTTATGGCTAATGTGTCTCTTTTAAAAATATTAAAGAACATGGTACAATGACTGCGTGAAAATTTGATATCAAAAGTTCAAAGTCAACACAATGATAAATTGTACATATTTAGTTAGAACCGCAAGAGAGTATGAATTAATAAAGGTAGTGTTCCAACAATTGCGTAACTAATCATTTGGACGTCCAAATTATTTTCAAATTTGAAAATTTTATCAGACGTTTCGAAACACCAAACCTGTTGCATCCTGTACCGCTTATTTTGCGGTAACGCAAAACGGTTTAAGGTACTCTTCGTCGCACTGTTCGACAATGCGGAACGGGTAATCATTATTTTCCTCTTTACCTTGCATTGCTCATACGCGTTGTTTCGCTATGTCATTATCTGCGTGGCGAGCGAGCGAGTATAACTTCAGGAATCTGGCGCGAATCTTGGGAAGTTATTTGACAGCAAATGCTTTGTTAATGTTCTCCCCACAATTTAATAATTCATTGATTATCATAATTAAAATTATCAAAATTCGATAAGAAAATACCATAGCTATCATGCGTTCACAATTCAGTGCATAAAATTTCAGCAGAAATTATGGAATTTTAATTATTAAAGTTGCACGATGTTTTTCGCACCGTAAAAAGAAAATGGAAAGTTCCTCCTTAGCCAGAAGTATTGCTTTTCAGGAATATTGCTCAAGATAATACGGTCGGTACGGATCATTTCGAAATTTGAAGCAATCCTGTGAAAGCAGTTTAACGTCGGCAAAAGGCGAAGCTTGTGCGCACACGTGTTGGACGCGATTACCGAATAATTTTTGCCCAATTTTTCGCAACGATTCCATTCCTATCCACATTAATTTTTATTACGCCTAGATGGAAAGAACAAAGCCGATTATCGGATTTAACAGTATTTTAATAGAAAGAATTTAAAGATTGCGCGAAATAGGTATACTAATATATAAAGAGCTTTTGTTAATAAAAATTGATTGATTGAATTTAAAAATTGATTTGAATGAAAGAAAATATATTTCCCGGGCAAATAAGATTTTCTATTGTATTCTTTTTACTTCTTCGAAGTAACGTCAATAGACGTCAATACTTACTTTGGTGTTCTTAACACGCAATTAGCGCTAAATATGTCGTAAAGAGTAAAAGATATAAGTAAATCTTATCAGCATGGAAGAAAATGAGGCTTAAATAAAAGTTTCACGTACCCAATAAAATTTTAGATAATACGCAAACATTATTGTGTTTACAAAAATTATTAATATATGTATAAAGCGAAGATACGTAGATATGTTTAATAAATATTAATGTTTAATAAATAAAAATGTAATTAAAAGATAAATATTAACGTATTTAATATTTTCTAATAGGAAAATGCCACTTTATCTAATCTGTTTCTATTTATCAAACTTCTAAAAAAAAAATGTGCACATTATGCACTAACTGATTGGAAATTTTTTAAATAGCATCTCTCTCGATATTTCTCTTTAAACCTTTAATTATCTAGTGTATGATTCTCATATTTAATTGGTGCGTTTATAGCTCATAAGCCAAAAGATTTTTTGCGCTCTTCTAAAGTGCCTGATTATCGACTGCAATTAAATGCACAGTAATATTCTTCATAAAATAATGATCTAATTAAAACAAGCCAAATCATAATTACATATGATTATTATTAAGAAATATTCTGATTACAATTGAAAATCACAGAGACAAAAGATCTATTATTGTTTAAAAGATAAGAATAATCACTAATATAAATTAAAAACTGGAAATTTATTTAACTTTATAGAATTTTATAATATTTTTATTTATTTCAAAATAGTTTTTTTGAGAATTTTTTTAATTATAATTTGCTAGCAAAAGATATTTTTTTACTGTATGTATAAAGGTAGAAAAATCAAAGTATAACAGATTAATGATTTAATGAACAGATTGTTTTTGCTTTACTAATAAAGCTATTAACACATTTATCGATAAACAAATAATTTATTATGCAAAAAATTACACATTTATCGATAAGTAATTTATTATGGAAAAAATTTTTTTTTAACAAGTAATAACAGAGTAAATGATACAAGTAAATCTTATTAGCATTGAAAGAAAATGCGACTTAAATAAAAGTTTCCATATTCAATAAAAAGTTCCGATAATACGCAAACATTATTTTATTTACAACTATTAATATACACATATAAAATAAATACAGATATACTTAAAACAAATATTAGTGTATTAAACAATTAATGCGCAAAAAAGGCAGCGTGGCATATTAAAAAAGTATTTTATATTTATCAATAATCTATTACTAATTAATGAAAGATAATTAAAGACAAGCAATGCGAAAATTAAATTTTACATAAACCCACGGTTTCATTTGAATAACCGAGAATAAATAAAATAAAGAAAGACACACACATAAATTTATATGTGTATGAGTAATATAAACGATTTATAAAAGGTATACTATTATAATAATAAGGATTCGTACAATAAAAAGAGTTCTTGAATGCCAAGGGATCGAAGATACATGAAGGCAGCGCGTAACGACAAGAGTTGCATTATGTAATTCTTAAACCAGGCAAGGACGTTTGTCATAAAGCAACGATAATAATTTGTGGATGCCAGATTGAGTTTCCTCCACGATCTCCTGGCGAAAGTCTTGCGATATGTCGGAGAATCATCGATTGTTTCGTTGCATGCTCGGCCGAGCAAGTTTTAGCGTAACAGAGCGGTGGTCAGGGCATCTGTGCACATCAGCCCGGGTGGTTTCACTTCTTTCGGTAATGTCGGGAGATCGTGAAAGCTTGATCTAGTTTTAACATTCGCGCGCAATAAGACAGACGGAAGCGTGCGTCACGCGTGTTTCTACTCCTACCTGCATTCGCAAGTGGAAAGGCAGCTATCGGACTTCCTTTTCGCTATCACACAGTCGGAATGATCGTTGTCGTCGTGTTTGAGGTCATTACCATTATTTACCGATAAAAGAAAGATTGGAAGTAAGTCTGACAAAGAGAAAGGAAAAGAAAGGAGAACGGCCTCACCTGCTAGCGAAAAACGCAAAAGGAAGAAAAAGTCTTCTAATCTGGTTCCGAAAGATCTATGCGGTAAAAAATGACGTATGATCGCAGGAAGATAATAACAGTTAAACAATAAATTTATTACGTTTAACTGTTGTGTAATATGTTCGATATGTACGAAAAATATTTGCGCGAAAATCAAGTTTCCATAATGCCGCCGAGTAAACAGCTCGTTCAATAAATTCGATAAATCTATCTGCAACGAAGGTTAAAACCTTAACCCGGAGAAAAGGATTACTCTCACCGAAGATTAGGATTATTCACATGCCATGGGCGTTCCCTGCACGTTCAATGAACCTTCCGTTAACACTAGAAATTCCGCTCGTTTCACTTTCTAGAAATAGATATTAACATTCTCCTATGTAACACTTAATGAGCTACTACCTTGTTCTTTGCTCCTTGATCGAAAGTCACATTGATGATATAGCTTAACATTGAATATCGGGTATGACCGATAATGAGATCGACAATTAACGATATACGCACGCACGCACGCACACGCACGCGCGCGCGCGCGCGCGCGCGCACACACACACACACACACACACACACACACACACACACATATATATATATATATATATACATCGGTAATTATGTTCCGCGATAGGAAACGTAAGCTTAATCAGCTACCTGCAACCGCAAACGTTGTCGCCGCAAAGTATCATTGTTTTGCCGTGCAATCGTCGGTTACACGTGACAGCCGTGATGGTATGTTAAGCAGGAATGAAAAACGCGATCATACTCAAACGCGTTTAACGGAACAAATGTGCCGTCTTTTAAAATAATCCGCACGACCGGATTTGTTCACGCGCGATTCTTCCCGCGACATTTATTTTGTAACGAGTTCTCCAAGCGTAAGTCATTCTCGCTCAGCCGTAATCCTTGGTATTGTCCTTATTCTATATTATAAAGGATTCTTACGCACAATGCCGATCGTAGTGCAAATAATAAAAATTCCAATATTAAAAGCCGGAGGTATAATTAAAGCTACCGAACCACTTTACTGACGTATTAAGCGCAAAAACGGCAAAAACCAGCTGAATAATGTACGGGTTTTTGTAACGCAGATCGTATTAAGCAATAAGAGACAGTGGCGCGAAAATCCCGTTCTCGATCGCCCTTGTAGACACGAGACAGAAAGTCCGTCCGGTTACGTTTACGCTCGCGTATATCATTTTCCGCGTGCGCAGTATATAATGTCTCATGTCTTAAAGAGAAAGAAAGAAAGAGTAGCAGATTTATGCGAACGTAGCCGAAACGCTCCGGCGCAACTCGCATTTATAGCGGACGTGCGTGACCATTAACCACCTTCGGAGGCCTTGGAGGAATTCTACGTAACTCTCCCTTAATTTATGGAGTTTGCCAAACGAAGTGGCAATTTAGAGACTTCTATACGCGTGTAATGTACGTTCACTTGATTCATGTAAAATGTCATGATCTGCATAGTCTGATTAACCATGATGGCTTATTCAGCGAATGGCAATCAAACATAATGAACGGCGAGAAAGAAATGCATACTCGCTAATGTCAAGCTACTAAAGAGATTTGCTAATATCAACATCTGCTGCCTCCATGCATTTTAAGAAACCGTTGTCTATGTTCTTGGAAGCTTCTTTAATCATTTGTTTACGATGACGGTTACACCTGCGTCATCGTATTTACCGTAAGAATCACTTGTCGAAGAAATTTAAGATGTATGCGCTAACGAATTTGTGTGAATTCTTGTCGTTTCGGCGATTTTAAACGGACGTCTTTGTTGCTTTGAGAATTCTCTCTTTATTCCGTTTACACTTTAGTCAGAATAATTCATAATCGATAATTAAAAGCCTCCAAAAGGAAGAATATCTAATCAAATTTACCTACCACGAAAAGATCAGAATTTAATATTTGCTAACAAGTCTGCAGTAACAGAACAAGAAATTAGATAGTAATATTTTGAAGCTAATGCTATTTCCTTGCCTTCTAAGGAATATATCTTAATTTTAATGTGATTATATCTATATTCTTTAATATTTCTTTTAGAGTCTTCAATTTACAGAGTTAACAGAAGAAAGCTAATATTAACTTTAAATTCAAAATTATGAAATAAGATAATAAAAAAAATAATAAAAAAAAAGTTATAAGATAATAAAAAAAGTTTATTTTATATTTTATCAAATAAATAAATATTTTAATAATTTGATTATAAATATTTATCTTTTTAGTGTGAGAGAATGAAAAAGGCGATATATAGCAGATTTTTCAGATTATTCTAACTTTCTCTTTTAATATAATCGTTATACTAGTTTGTGTCTCTCGATTGAGAAAAAGTGACAAATATAAATGATAGTAACAAAAAAAAACAACAAACAAAAATTAGAAAATGTAATAGAAAAATCATATGAAAAATCATATGTATGTTTTTCGATAATATTTAAATATCAATAAACATCGAAAAATAATTAAATTTTATTTATCATTTTTTAAATATTTTTTATTAATTTCTGCCGATATTTTCCAAAGCTATACAAAAGTAGATAAATAAACGTGATGGAATATATTTTACATTTTTTTAACGATTCATCTATTCAAATTAGATATTACTAATCTTATGTCATTTACAGAGAGTTATCTTTATTAATGCTGAGCAATAAATTTGATTCTGGCGAAATATTCTGGCGGACGATCCCTTGAAACTATTAATTTAATGATTGACTAATCTTTTTAAAATTAAATTAAGTTACGTAACATGTCAAGAATAAAATAAGAGAAAACATTCTACTATGAGATACATAAATTATATTTCTAAATAATTCCAAGGTTACATTTACGTACATAGAAATGCGTACCTAAGTGTTACAGTGCAAGTACTTGTTTAGCTTGAATTTTTTTTGCGACTTTGACGTAGTTTCTTAATGTGATTTTGTTGCGCATGAACTTGATGCGAGATACTGTCTCTTGATCTTTTTTCATTATTATAATTACAGCAATCTGTCACAGGTGTTTTCTTAATAAAACAGTTACGATGAATAAAACGGTTATGATAATTGCTTGCGTCAGCAATATAATTGCTTAATTAACTGTTCCAATAGGTATCATTTAATGACCTGATATTTATGTATCGTAGAAATAATTTTAAAGTAGCATCTTCCTTCATCTAATAATGACATCTTATTCGAGAAAATAAATTATTCGCATTCTCAAAAGTCGATAATGTTTGTGCAGCTCTGAATGTACACGATGCATTTAAAGATTGTTTTTAATAAGATCTCAAATATTATATGGTTAAGTTAAATGTTAAATTTTATCTATTTAAAATTAATTATGCCAAAAGAATAAAAATTTATGATTCATTTATATGAATAATATTTTTAAAATATATATTAAAATATATCACTAAATGTAATATATTGTTAAATGTAAAACAATATCTTATTTATGGAAGACTTTAAAATTCGGCAAAATAAGTGAGCTAGTGCAGAATACATTAGAATATAATAATTGCCGTATATTATTTATTTCGCAATATCATATTCTCAATTTCTTAGTACTTTCTGATCTATAATAACAACCGCGGTTGTGGTGCAGAATTAATTTGTCTTTGAATATATTATTGATATCAACTCGCAGCGGAAGAAAAAAGTTTTTGCTAATATGTGACGTAAATCAGATACACAAGAATAATTAAGTATTCAAACCTATATTAAATATATTTGCATTTAAACATACGTTAAATACGTTTTGCAAATTGTCATGCTCAGAATAATTATTTTGCTCCTCTATTCTGCGTGATATCTTATTTACTCGTATTTGCGTGCATTCCCGCAGGGAATGTTTCATTCTAGAATCTTTGTTATTATCGATCAATTTTTTGTAGAATTACTACGTGGAAAAATCTTCTTTTCTTATCGATGAATAATATATATTTACTGAATATTTCCGTTTGATACCGTTATACCTCTCGTTTGTTGTTATGATAAGAAAACCAATGCTCGCAGTTTGCTTATAATTTTTAATATTGATATTATTTATGTAAAATATGTATTAAAACAATATATTCTTAATAAAATATACAACGCTTAAATTATAAACGATGCCTTCACGCGTAAAGAGATATTTAAAAAGATATTTCCTTCGAACGAAGGAATTTGATTTTTATTTACTGTTCGTAGGAAAAAGGCGCGGTTAAAATTCGAATGATTTTCTCGTAACTTTGATCGAGCAAATTTAATATTGACCCATGTCGCGCTGAAAATTCTTTCGGCATAAATGCACACTTTGCACATTTACGTAATGTCCGATGACAAAAGTTACATCGCGGGACGCGTCACCATCCTACTCTTCGCGATCCGATCGACGGTTTCTTTCCCGCCTTCTTCTTCCCATTTTTTAATTTTGACTCGGTTTCGCATTTCAGGCTGAAGCCAAGGATGAAGGACCAACGGCGAGACCACGTCGAGTGAAAGTGAAGCTGGGGGAACTTGCGTCTTACCTGGACCAGGTGTGAAAGTGCAGTGCGTAATACGAACGCAGGGAAACACGTGGTGTGGTGGTACCTGTCGAAATCGCGCTATCGGCACGACGGCGATGACGTGAACGAGGCAGTAGTGATGATAACGCCGGCAATAATGACGACGCAGATGCGTGCTCACCGCGAGAACAATGCTCGGTGCAGTGACAGTAGATGATGCTAATGATGATAATGATAACAATGTTGATGATGATCTCCTATAGACACGACACTCACCTTGGATCAACGTGCTTACAACCGCCAATTAAAATATACAGTAATTAGTTAGTTATCTCGGGCGGATTATCCAATCCGCTTTTATTCCACTTTTATTCCACTTTTATTTGACGATCGACGGTCTCGTTCATCAGTTGGAAATTGACCGTTCCAAGACTATCAAGAAACCGATTCGAATAAAAGCGCGATTGAAACAACGAGCGCTTTCTGTGCAAGCGATTATTTATAAGAAACGTTCGGTTGAATAGAAATAATATCATCGAGCCGAATCAACGAGTGTTTCGTCAGCGTTACATTGAGTGTGATCAATTGTTTTGTCGATCGACGGAGAAAAGATTGTTTTCCTCTAAAACGTGAGTCGATCGACGATTAAAAATGAAGTTCATCGCGTCCTTGTTCGGGACGAGGTCCCCAAAGGCGATGGGAAGGCAATACATGAAGGTCGGTAGAAACGCCCTTTTTGGTGTAAGAACTGACAACGGTGACAATATTTGTTCTGAGAAGGTGCCGAGGCCGCTATCTTTCCTAATTTCTAGAAGGGGAAAACTCAGGCACGGTGAGTAATTACACATTTACGCATTATATCGCTCCGTTTAATAATAAACTGCTTTAATAAGTTTTACATTTAAAGTCGAAAATTATTATGTTTGGAAATTTCTATTCGAAATCACTGATTCTAATTAGTTCTCTCTTATCTTCTTTTCTCCGCTTTTTTATTATTTATTATACTATTTACTTAAACCTATTGAAGTGTTAATTACTTGAACTTAATCTTGAAATATAAAATGTTATGTAGCGACAAGGTTTACTCTTACGTAATTCGTATTCTGGTTAATTCGTTCTAAACCGCGAGTCTTAACTGCAATTTTCTGCCGCGACTAACGATAATATGTTGTTAGATGCTTATGCCGGACTTGTGCCGGCAACCAGACCGGAACAATATTACAGCATGAGTAGTAAATTGCCATTGTTCACTCGACACTTTCCTTAATTAGTTATTATCTGAAAAGGTAGTCAATTTAGCGTTAATTGATCTCTGTGAAGTATTCTACTAATAATGTTTGCACGAATATGCAAGTAATCTTAATCGTCGAAGGATTACGATGTATATATGACAAAGTTTCTTCTCATGGTGAGAATTATGAAAGTACATACCGGGTGCTTCGAAAATATCAATAAACATTGAAAAATAATTAAATTTTATTTATCATTTTTTAAATATTTTTTATTAATTTCTGCCGATATTTTCTAAAGCTATACAAAAGTAGAAAACGTGAATAAATAAACGTGATGGAATATATTTTACATTTTTAAATATTAGATGGAATATTAGATTTTATTTAATTTTATTTATTGTTTTTATGATAGTTTTTATGATAAAATGTTCAAAAAGTACAGCAAAATTATATACTGTTGAATAATACTCGATTTCACTATAACAACAGATAATTATTCTATAAATTTTTATTTCTTTATCTCTCTCTCTCTCTCTCTCTCTCTCTCTCTCTCTCTCTCTCGCTAGCTAGTTAATTTTCGCTTTTATTTTTGTTCTCTCTAAAAAAATTATTCAATTAATTTTATTAGCAAAACTGATCATGTAGTTATTTCTTTATATATTGACAATGAAAATATAAATTAAATATTATATAATTATTTTTAATATAAATATATAAACAAATTAAAAATACGAATTGTTAAAATACAATATTTTCATTAATTTTAGTTATGAATTCTTTAATGACAAAATTAAATTTAAAGTAAGAAGAAATATTTATGTTACTATAATTTTTTATTTTTTAATATTGAATATTTCAAGAATATTAACAATAACAATAATAATAATATACAATAATAATATATTAACAATAATGTAAATAAACTTTATTTAACTAAAAGTTTCTCGATAAAATCGGAATATATACACATAATATTCTTGTCTGCTCTGTTAATTATTATGTAGAAAAAAATTTTAATTCTTGATATTAAAAACATTTTAATATATGTTAAATATTTATTTTATAATATGATAAATAATATGATAAATAAATTTTATTATAGAATATTTTGTGGAATATTTTTAAAAAGCAAACATATGACTTAAAATTATTTTTAGCGTTTTATTAATCAATTAAAAGTGTACGTCTATGTGTGTGATACAATTAGATTTAATTACATTATTTTTTGCTTATATCACTAGCCTAAAGCGTTTTCCTTAGTGCTGTTTTTACTAAAGAGTAGTAGCGATCACCTTATATCAACGATTATCGTTCACGAATAACTGGTATCAAAGTGAGAGCCGTTGTATCAAACCTCAACTCTCACCACATTCAAAGACCATGCATAATTAGAATTGCGTACAAGGTCGACCAGCCAATTCTCGTTACATGATAGTCGAAATATTCTTGTTATCTTGATAAACTAAACCAAAGAATTGCTGATTGTTAGATTTGAGGTAATTCGTACTGTAGCGCGTCGATTAGGGTCGCGATAGCTCCTGTTATATTTCATGTTCAATCTTTGTAAAGCCATGTGAATGAAGAGAAATTGCTGTACTTGATCTTTCCATCTTCCAAGTAATCTCATTAAATTTTTTACGATTGTCGCATTATTTTCTAGTTGATTATTTTCTTATTTTTTAATTGATTCGTTTTTAATTCTCGATATTTTCATAATTATTTCTATAATGAGTTTTATAAGTGTTTACTTCAGATTCTAAACTTTTTTTCAATATAATTTTTAAGAGTCATCAATATGTTTGCTTAACGTCAAAAGAAGAAATTGTTTTTCTTTAATTCTAAAATGAGTAACAAGATAAAAAGCATCTGAAAAATTTTATTTAATTTTTCTTAAAATTTCTAAGAAATTAGTAGTTGCGAAAAGTTTTAAAATATCTTGTACTACATATATTTTGTCTGACTATAAACCATGACATTATAAACTGACATTATAAATCATATGGAATTGCTAGAAATTTCAAAATGATACTGAGAGCTTACGTGATATCTTTGAATTATTGCTGCTTTTAATGAAATCTACATTTAGAGTTTTTAATTGTACTTGCGTTTTTCTTTATGAAAACTTAACTAAATACTCTTTTCATAATTCTTCAATTTTTTGGTAAATAAATAATATAACATTTTCCAAAAATATTTTAAATATAGTACTTGATTTTATTATTATTTTTTTATTATTGCTTTTACTTCTATGAAAGAGAGGCGATATATCTCTATCGTTATTCATATTCTTAAGAGCAAACAAATATTAATTAGACAAATATAGATCGAAATCTATAATAGAAAAAGTGATTATTAGAAAGTGATTATTAGAAGATATGATTTAAGTAATTGTAACTTGTAATTTTAATAACGTTGTTCATGTATCGTGTAATGTTACTGATTAAATTCCAGTTTCTGATGATGAGTAGTAATTGTATGTTGATTATAATTATCGCCGTTATTAAACCACTTAAATATTGGACATTAGAATGATATTCATTATTCCGTATAGATTTTGTTCCGCTTCTGCTTTATGAATAGGAAGAATATTAAACATTATTTTGAATATCAGAAAATGATACCGATGATGAATGATAATGTTAATAGATATTCCAAGGTAGAAAATTAATGTAAACATTTGCATATTAAACGTGTATTAGATAACAGTAATATCAATATTGAATTAGTACAAAAATTAATCGATTAAAAGATTAAAAATTCTTTTTATTATAAAGTTGTAAATAACCAACATATTAGAAATGTAATATAATACATCGGTAATAAAATACATTAAAATGCAAGAAATTTAATGCATAAAATACATTAAATTTCTATTATTTTTTATTAAATTAAATTTGAGATAAAATTGTTATGAATCTTTTTTCTATGAAAAAATGATGCGGAATTTGTCGAATATAATTTGTTGATATCAAGGAAACATGTTGTACATATATCTTTATGTTAAATACCATGTACAACATAATGGAGGCCTAAGTGCAGTGGGTCAGTGGAACACAAGTGATAGAGGACAGGTTGTACAGCACAGTTATATGCACTACGCATCACTTCGATTAGCTTTACTATCGCCAACGTAATTTACTCTGACATTCCATCGTAACAGCTTGCTATTTTAAAGAATCATAGAAACTGAATTTTTTTAAATTAATTGTAAAAATATAAGTAACTTATAGAAATATTTGTTAAAGAAAAAATTTTCAATATAATTTCGAAGTATAGAGGAAAAAAAATGAAAGAAGCATGAAACGTAATATTATCCAGCGTTAAAGTCTCTCTGACAGTATCTTATCTGGCGTTGAAATTTCTGAAGTTGATAAGCAAGAGAAACTTTCTTTCAATTAAGATGCTTTGTACATTTAAATGTGCAAATTTAATTCTTTTATGTTTGAATGCATTATGCTTTTATTTCGAGTATACTTTTCATTTTATAAATATGATCTTAGCTATTAGAACTAAGTGTTTAAAGCTTTTAAAGTACTTGAAAGAAGAAAACTTCTTCTATATCTTTTCTATGCTGTTCCCTCTTCGCTCTTCCGAACGTCCTCATCCTGTGTCTGGTGCATCCTTCATTCTGCTATACCGTTAGGTTCCGCAAGAGAATACAAGTTTCTGTTTGTCTTGTTTTTACCATGCGTGGTATGAACGGCGACCGCAGCATGATTTTCACTCACGCTTTGAATCACGCGAGATATGCACGCTCTTATGTAATTTAAAACTTCTTACTATTCCAAAATCTCTTTTTTCAACCAGCAGTTCTATTTCCAAAATCTTTTTTTTTCAATAAACGCTTCTTTGGCTACAGATTATTTTTATATTATTTAAAATTTTTACATTTTATTAATAATTAATTATCAATTAGATTGATTATGTATAATTAATGATTAAATATTAATAAAATATTAATTAACAATAAATTATATAGTATCTATGCACATAATCATCGAACATAAATTAAGCAAATCTGAATTAAATTACATAGATTTCTAATTGATCATTGATCAAATTATGCAATCATTTCGCTCAAGAAATAGTCAAAAAGATAAGGAAGAAAAAATATTAACAAGCAAAAAAAGAGATAGAAAGAGGAGAAGAACCGGTTGCCTGTGTTGCCATTAATGATTTTTTAATCGATTAAATCGACAGTATTCGCCTGCGAAATCTTCGCATAGATCAATTTGCTCATTATACCGAGTGATCAAAGAGTCATAACGTTCACCGCCGAAACCTTTAAGTAAGCTGCTGAGACCGTACGGCTTTTCACACGTACTGTACCGATCGAGGACGAAAGGTGAATAAAATCTTTTGATTGAAGAAGCGTGATAAATCGTTCAATGTACCGTCGTGAACACCGCGCAAATCATTTATCTGTTATCGTTATGCACCATAGCCAGGCACTACTATGCCACACTACTATGCCACATTCATAGATCCGGACGGCCGTCGTTGCGGCTATCGACTTTCTAATACGCTCGTCTTGCAATGCGCCGGGACCGTGTCATTAAATGGAGCTATGATATACAGGTTGGTGTCTATATAGGCAGGC